CACTTGTTTATTAGGACTCCTAACCACTCCCTTCTTGGTCCATAACAGATCTTAACAGAAATTCTATCTGGGGAACCCCAGAACAGCCTCTTCCAGGGGAAGTCCCAGATAAAAATGACCACTTCTTTGGGTATACCGTACTACCCTGATTGGGAGAGACAGCTCATCAACGTGTGCTCCACAACTGATCCATAACCTTGAAAATTATTGCTAATAAAACTGCATTAGCAACAGCTGCTCAATAAAAATCTTTAGTCTCTTTAGCTCAAGTGGTTCTTGATAACCACATTGCTCTTGACTATATTTTAAAAGAACAAGGGGTATTTGTGTTATATCTAATTCTTCATGCTACACTTACCTCCACAGAAGTGGAAATACATGTTGACAAAATTAGACAACAACCTTCATGGTTGCAATAGGTTAACAAAAGTAATATAGAAATGAGAAGTTGGTTCTCAAGACTATTCTCTTAGATTCCTCTGGATACTCACTCTATTCTTTGAGGGATCTTAAAGTTTAGCCTTTCCATTTTACTACTGGTTTTCTTGATTAACCTCATAACAAATATATTAATTAAATGTGGACTAAAATGTTGTTTCAAAATAACAAACAAAAACACTCAAATAAGGGTACTAGAGACGTTCAATCATTCTCCTATGAATCATGAGTACTTTCAGCAACAGGCTCGAAACTTTCATTCCTCATACCCCAGCTGTGCCTCATTTCAACAGGAAACAGCCAGATAGATCCACACCCCAATTCCCCAAAATTGAGGAATTAACTAAGAGAAAGGGGGAATTGTAACCGGTTCCATAAGCAAAAATACCTGGAAAAAGTGATGGTAATACTCAGCAAAGTGGAAATGACCGAGTTGCCCTGGCAGAAAGCAGAGGAAGGAATCAAAAGGTGCAGGGAGGGCATGCCAGAATGGGTCTATTATGTGAGACCAGAAGAACCAACAAAGTTTTACATTCTATGCGAGGGCCCAGAGGATACTCAGTCACCAAGCCTATCAGGGATGCACCGGTGAGAAGGGCAGCGTTGCTAAGAAGTTCAGTTAGGCCTCTCCTCTGCATGAGGATGATGGTGCTCCTAAGTTAACAGAAGCCAGGTGGGCAGCACTCAACTATAACCAGTTCTATAAGCAAGAAAATGTTTTTTCAATAATGTTTTTAGTTGCCCCATATTTCTAAATAGTTTTCAGTGTTCACATTATGGCTGCAACTGGCAACTCTTAAGTGGCCTTGACAGCAAGATTTATCTCAGCCCTGGTAACTTATCAACAACAGTCTCAATTAGGCAGAAAATAGAGAACTCTTCAGTAAAATTTGCAGACCAGAAACTTCGTGACTTTCTGTTGCACTGATGCATTTTCTTTTGAGTTTCTTTCCCAGGAACAGCAGAACCTCCTACAAAGTCTCACACCACCTATGTGTCTGGAGAAGACAAGCAATACCCCAGCGCAGACGATGCCCGAAGACCAAGGAGCCTGTGCAGAAGGCTGAAAGAACGACCAATATTAACCCCTAGCTCATTATTTACTTATCTGTCATTTTTTGATCATGGGATGTATGTACTAGAATGATTTCTCACGGTGCTTGCATGCCTGCATTCCACCCTAACACATGATGCTCACACCCCTCATACATTATTCATTTCGCCTGCAGCAAAAAACCCTGACCCTGTCACTTGGAGAGGCAGATTTAAGGCAGTTCATACCTCCCCTTTGCTGTTGATGCATCCATGGAAATAAATCCTTTCCTCCTGACAATCCTGGCTGTCTCAGTAATTGGCTTTCTGAGGGGGGAGGGCAACATTGGACCCCCTTTGTGGGTTCATTAACTCATTAACATAACTACCAAAAGTAAAGGGTACACAATTACTGTCAAGACCAGCAGTCAGAGGGTGAGCCAAATAGGCTGACCCACAGGGAATATGGATATTATAGAACTTAACATCCCTGGGGCCAAACTAGATAGGCAGCCATGAGGGTGCTGCTTAACATCTACAGTCAGAAGAAAACAATGGAGGGACAGGAGACTGATGGTGATCACCTTAATAAAAAGTTCCAATCCCTTGCTCTGAGCTAACTTTCATATCTAGAACCTAATGATTAAAGAGATGGTCAGATCCCCAAGACAGAGTACCCTTCACCACTATGGTCAGTATATAGAGGAATGAGTGGCTTAATCTTTCCCCATTTACTTAAGTGACTATACACTGGAGAAAAGAGAATAATCAGTCATCCAAATACTAGACATAGGATCTGAGTTGACACTGATACCCAGAAGCCTGAAGTGTCATGGTAGCACATCACCAAGAGGGGTGGGATATCTTTCCCTCAGCTCACTGAAGAGAGGTACCTATAAGATCAGCTGGAGGGGGGGAAAAACCAAGCCTGTTTTACAGATGAGTGGGCTGTTTCTTTCCAGTAGGTTGAGGTGAGCAATGTACCTGGTCATCCACTTTCCATGGAAGGAGAAATGGCCCAAGGTGAGAATATATACAGATTCCTGGGCAGTGGCCAATGGCCTGGCTGGCTGGTCAGAAAACTGGAAGAAAAGGGAGTGGAAGATCAGACACGAAGAGGGTGAGATACAAATTTGTGACTACACATTGAGAATGACCATGAAATGTGATTTTTTTCCTATCATTTGTTAATGCACACCAGAAAGCACCCACCATTAAAAAGGCACTGAACAAGTGGACAAAATGATTTGGTCATTTAATGTTAGCCAGCCTTCCTCATCTGCCACCCCAGAACTAGGACAGGCACATAAGCAAAGTAGACACAGTGACAGATGAAAGCTAGGCTGGCATGGACTCCTACATATCAACTAGCTCCTGCCCCCTCCAAATATCTAACCATCCAGCAAGAGACCATCATCAAGCTCCTAATATACTATTCCTCAAGGACACCAAGGAAGGTAACATATTCACAGGTCCCAGGGATTAGAACATGGACATCTTTGCAGGATGATTATTCAGTCTACCACAGGTGCAGGTTGGTACTCCCTCACACAATGAAAATGTGCAGCAACCCTGGCCTGAGAACGGTATTACCAAAGGCTCAAGACCCCTTATCTGCAGCCTTACTGGGTCTTGGTAGTGGTGGGGAACCTTAGGAATTAAGTAGGTTCACATCATCAGGTAAGCCAGGACCTACTATCCATACACAAGGATGAAGAAAATTTGGAATGTTCAGTGGATTGGGACCTGTATGCTAGTATTCTGTAGACATCTACCAGTTGTGGCCTTAAGACAATCTGTAGCAATGGGAGTTGTAATCTGTCCCAAGCTTCTCCTAAAAAAGGCTCCTGAAAAATCAAACACGCCTGAGGAAAGTAGATCTAAAACAAAGTACAGACTGTAGTAGCCATGGAGGTAAACCACACAGATTTCAAGAAAACCAGTTAACTGACAGCCTTCACTTTCCTCACCTTTGAATCTACCAAGTTATCACACATCACTCAGGCTGCTATCAATGCCTGAGCACAATAATGAGCACAAATGGCTATTAGGCCATTTTTTCTAACAGTCAACTTTTGCTTGGGGACTCCATTAGCAGGGGCAAGACTTTTACAGTCTGATGCCCCTCTTACCCAACCCTCCTATCTTCCCTGTGACTAAGAACCAGGTCCTTGGAAGAGAATGGTAGCTATATATGGCCTTCTCAAAACTCACCATAGATGGGTTTGTGAATTTGAGTGGCTATAAGAATTTCAGGGGTGTTAGAGTACATATTCCCTATGGGGGACTTAATACCCCAGAAAGTGCTGATGGGCCTGTTAATTTACTTCTTTTTTTTTTTTATTTTTTATTTTTTTTTGAGACAGAGTCTTGCTTTGTTGCCCAGGCTAGAGTGAGTGCCGTGGCGTCAGCCTAGCTCACAGCAACCTCAAACTCCTGGGCTCAAGCGATCCTCCTGCCTCAGCCTCCCGAGTAGCTGGGACTACAGGCATGCGCCACCATGCCCGGCTAATTTTTTGTATATATTTTTAGTTGGCCAATTAATTTCTTTCCATTTATAGTAGAGACGGGGTCTCGCTCTTGCTCAGGCTGGTTTCGAACTCCTGAACTCGAGCAATCCGCCCGCCTCGGCCTCCCAGAGAGCTAGGACTACAGGCGTGAGCCACTGCGCCCCGCCTAATTTACTTCTTAACAATCACCTCGGGCAATCTGTATGTTAGTGTTCTACAGATCACTTTTTAAAAAAACAACAGGAAGAGGACATCTAATTTATAATCCTGTTGTAGTCATATTCATAGCTGTGTAAGTAATGTTCATCTTTGTGGATAAAATGTAAAAAGTACTAGAGAAACCAAAAAGCAGTAGGAAACACAAACCAAATCATGGGAAGATCTATTAAAGATGATCTCCTTAGTTCATCTGATGAGCCTTCTATGAGTTCTGACCATTCTCTGGATGTAAATAAAATTCATGATGATGGTATAACTGTATAAATCCTTGCGTGCTCACTTTAGTTCTTACAGAAAGTAATCTTTTGGACTCCTTGTCACAATGCATTATAACAACAGACAACTTCACGCTTAACCCTAACTTAACTTCTATTATGACCGCATCCTAAAATTTAGCATCAAAATAATCTTGACAATGCCTATCTATGCCTATGATCCAGCACCAGGCTCAATTTCTCTGTATGTTTTGTGTAAATTTCTAGCCCTAGAGGATTCTGAAATGGCATTAACTGTGAGCAAGAAATGGGAGCAAGAGTAAGGGACACAGAGTAGAGGGTGAGAAGAAGGAAGATATTTAAAACTAGTTGGCTTTAACAAGTCCTGCTCCTTTTCATTTACTTCTTCCAGGTTTTTACCGTATCTTCAAAACCAAAACCAAAACGAACTACTGAACATGTATCGATTTCCTGGGATGGAAGTATTGTGTGCCCCAATTTCCCTTTCCCATCAGACACAGGTCTCTAAAACCCAGAAATGATGACACTCTCAAATACAAACAAAATATGCATCCAATTCAAATGATTGTTTTACATTTTTGTAACATTTCCTTTAACATTTAATAGAAACTATATACAATTTTTACTGTATCTTACATAAGACAGCCAATCACAGAAATTTACACAGGTTAGAAGCAAGATGGGTAATTAAGAAGGGCCCAGTCCTGTGGGCTATTTTCTGAGAGGATAAAGGCAGAGTTTACTGGGGAAAGGGGTTCAGACTACCCAATTAAGTGAAGGTGAAGGCAGGCTAAAATGTAGCCCTTTAGATAAACAGACATCATCAGGGCCATCAATATTTCAAGGGCACCACTCAAAGACAGCTTCCACCTGGCCACTTATATGGATTCCTATCCATGACTTAGGAAATCCCATTACAAAGATGTCTCTTTCCCCTTAGGCATAGTCCCAAATACTCAAATCCCAGAAGCTTTGACAAGAATTATCACTCTCTTTCTTGCTCAGAGTGGGAAGAAACCCACAACTTTTGAAAACTATTGGTCCATTCTCTCAAAATTTGGTTTTATGTTTAACTATAGCATTCAATCCAGAAAAAAAAACAAGGTAGTCTGGGTTGCCCGTTTAGTGAGAGATAATCAGAGAAATACTTGTTTGAGGAATGAGAAATTTAAATCCACCAAAGTCAAATGGTTCCCAAAACACACTATCAACTGACAGAAGGGGGTTCTGGCTTCCCATTTGCAGTAGCCAATCCACTTTGAGGCAATGGTGCAGAGGCTTTCTCAGAATTTCGAGATCCCTGGGATCTGCACCCATCTCCAGCCATCTGCATCTGGCCCTGTTAAAAGAAATAAAGACACTTTGGTTAGAATTTCATTCATTGTGGTATGAAGTATATATCTGACTTATCAATGCCCATTTAGAGTAACAACATGACAACAAAAATAAAATAATTCTGGGCAGGTGTGCTTCCCCAAACTTAGCTATCCTTGTCTCTTAGAGTCAGAAGTCGTTACTTGTAGCACTCCTGAGGCTCTTCCAATATGAAGGAGAGCTGTGGGTTGTTTCTTCCAAATGAAATAGCCATTCTCTGCTAAGATAACAGAACAGCCAACAGACCACAGGAAGACAGTCCTTTAGGCCTCTGTTTGAAACCAACAGCTATAGTCTAACTGCTGGTCTTCAGTCAGGGCCATTAGTTTTCCATCAAAGGCTGAGAGAAACAAGTCAAGTCACATTATCAGTCCTTACTTCTACAATGAGAACAATCCCATTGCTGAATTCTCCTCTAACACATTAACTGCCACATAAGTTGTATTTAACTCATGCTATTTTGAGCCCGGGGCCTCGTGAAGTATATGTAACTGACACACCTCTCTTTACCTTGGGATCCGCGAGGACTATTTTTCAAGTTGCATATAATTCACGCACAGAAAACAATAAAAAATAAATTTTTAAATAAATTAGAATCATTTTGCTTTTGAATATTTTATTCTATTCTTGTAATAAAACACCATGGCCCCAAGGAAAAATTTTTTTCACTAGTGTGTCAGTCAATGTGTTAAAGGGTACAATTTACTGGCCAGGCACAGTGACTCACATCTGTAATTCCAGCACTTTGGGAGGCCAAGGAAGGGGGTGGGGAGGACTGCCTGAGCCCAGGAGTTCGAGATCAGCCTAGGCAACATAGCGAGACTCCATCTCTAAAAAGATCAGCCAGGAGTGGTGGTGCCCAACTCTAGTCCCAGCTACTCTGGAATCCAAGGTGGCAGGATCTCTTGAGTCCAGAAGTTTGGCTGTGCAGTGAACTATGACAACACTACTGCACTCTAGCCCAGGCAACAGAGCAAGACTCGATCTCCCCCCAAAAATGAAAATTTAAAAAAAGGTACAATTGAAGATACCATGTCCCAACCTTTTATTTAAATAAATTGGCCAGGCATGGTGGCTCACACTCATAACCCAGCTCTTTGGAAGTATGAGGCTGAGGCAGGAGGATCATTTGGGCCCAGGAGTTCAAGACCAGACTGGGCAAGACCACACCTCTACAAAAAAGAGAAAAAAAGTTGGTTTTTTTTCGAGACAGAGTCTCACTGTCACCCAGGATAGAGTACAGTGGTGTCATGATAGCTCAAACTCCAGAGCTCAAGCAATCCTTCTGCTCAGCCTCCCAGAGTGTTAGGATTACAGGTGTAAGCCACATACCAGGCCCCCCAAAATTTTTAAAAAAACAGCCAGGCACGATGGTACATCCCTGCAGTCCTACCTACTCAAGAGGCTGAAGGGGGAGGATCACTTGAGCCCAGGAGTTCAAGGCTACAGTGAGCTATGATGGCCTAACTGCATTCCAGCCTGGGCAACAAAGCAAGACCCAGTCAAATAAAATAAAATTTTTAAAAAGTAAATAAATTTTAAAAGAAAGGGGAAAAAAAAGAAAAAAGAAGGCAAAGAAAAGGAAGAATGTCTTACTCTGGGATATGAGGATCAGGGGCTATTAGGTATTCTAAAGGCCCATCTGGAGAATTAGGGCAACAAGGCCATCGAGGAGCAGAGAAGGACATTTTTTAAAAGTACCCTCCTTATATGGCATATTCACTGAGCAAAAGCCATCTGGGGCAATCTTTATACTCTACTTGTGATGACACCCCTACTCCCTGGAGTACATGCTACCCTGCAGGGAACCCTTTGCCTGGCTGGGTCACACAAGGAAAGCATAGGTGGGATTGTTCTTCACTTGCCAAGATATCCACAGGGCTGCCTTCAGCAATTTCTTTGATTGAATGATCTTCAAGGGTTAATGAAGGATCAAAAAGCAAGGGTGAAGGGGGGCACTGCATACCGTCACCCACAACATCCAAATCCTAGGAAAAAAAGAGAAAAGCCTATCAGCAATACCAAGGGAACCAATCAACTACAGGTGGCATATTTTCAGTAAACCTCAAAGCAATTCTCTGTTCCCTCTCTCATTCCTTGCCCCTTTAATCAAAAAAAGATTTTACCAGAATGTCCAGCAAATAAGACAAGATCCAAGAGCACTGAGAACTTTTTCTTACTGTCAAGTACAAAACACAGACCAGTACAGTGCCTTAAAAAAGCAAATTCCCAGGAAAATTAATACAGATAGTAGAATGGTAGAAGCTAGGGGAAGGGGAGGGTTACTGTTTAATGACAACAGAGTTTTTGTTTGGGCCGATGGAAAAGTTCTGGAAAAGAAAGTGGTAATGGTGGCATAGCACTGTGAATGTTTTTAATATCATTAAGTTGTACACTTAATGGTTAAAATGATAAAAAGCATATTCCCTCTGAGGCTAACTATAGTCAACATCTAAATTCACCAGTGATAAATTTAAGTATGGACAATCGGCATAAACAAAAATTACAATTAAATATTGCTTAAAAACACTGGGCAATATGAGATTGCCTGATTATTGTCCTAACAGCCACAAAACAAGCGAGTGAGTTCAAGAGGGGGATTGCTGCTCTGCCTTTTGGCTAAGATCAAGTGAAGTGGTGAAAGGGAAAAGGTGGGAAGGAAGGACAGAAAAATGTTCCTCTGAATGGCTAGGAAATATTTTGGTTAAGTCTCTATCCCCACAGAGTAAGTCCATGATTCTTAAACCTAACATAGTTTAACTACTCTGTTAAAAAACACTGACATAGGCCGGGCGCGGTGGCTCACGCCTGTAATCCTAGCTCTCTGGGAGGCCGAGGCGGGCGGATTGCTCGAGGTCAGGAGTTCGAAACCAGCCTGAGCAAGGCGAGACCCGGTTCTCTACTATAATAGGAAGAAATAATTGGCCAACTGATAATATATATAAAAAAAAAAAAAATTAGCCGGGCATGGTGGCTCATGCCTGTAGTCCCAGCTACTTGGGAGGCTGAGACAGAAGGATCGCTTGAGCCCAGGAGTTTGAGGTTGCTGTGAGCTAGGCTGACGCCATGGCACTCACTCTAGGCCTGGGCAACAAAGCGAGACTCCTGTCTCAAAAAAAAAAAAAAAAAAAACACTGACATATTCTAGACTATGTTTCTTCCAAACGAATTGGCCATTCACACAGTAATATCAAATAGCCAACAGACCACAAGGAAGACATCGCTCTTGGCTCCTGTTTGAAACCAACAGCTACAACAGCCAATTACTGGTTCTAATTCAGGGCCTAAGGGATTGCAAAGGCTCAAACAATACATCAAACTAACTTTCATGCCACTACTTTCTAAATAACCTAGTGCTAAACTCTCCTTCCCAAGAGTTAAAAATATCCAAGGTTTATACCCCTGTGCCCAATCCAGTTTACAGAGGCTCTGCATTTCTAATAATCTAGCTTCATGAGAAGCTTAGTTCCATTAATTTAAGTAAGTCGAAGAATTTTCAATCCTTCCCATCTTCACCTTAAGGTAAAGAGAAGAACGAAACTTAAAACTCTATTAGGCTAGGTGCACTGGCTAACGCCTGTAATTCCAGCACTTTGGAAGGCCAAGGTGAGAGGATCACTTGAAGCCAGAAATTCAAGACCAGCCCAGCTACCAGTTAATTTTTCTATTTTTTTGTAGAGAATGGGTTTGGCTCTTGCTCAGACTAGTTTCCTGAGCTCAAGCCATCCTCCTGCCTCAGCCTCCCACAGTGCTGAAATTATGGGCATGAGCCACTGTGCCTAGTCCAGCAAAGGCTCATCTTAAAAACCCATTGGATTTTTAAAAATAAGGTTTTCTGATGCATTCTTTGAAAAACTCATGCCACAAATAAGGATTAACAAATCTGACAATACATTTAAAAAATATTTTTAAGATTCCTTAAATATCAGAAAACCTAAGATAACATTTCATAATCTCTAATATTTTGTCTACACATCTTCTGAAAAGCAAACAAGTAATATAATCATTGAACAAACTGCAACAGGAATAGGTTCATAAAGCTGCTCATGTTACTAAGTTTAAAAAAGATAACACCTCTCTCTAGGTTTCTTCAAATATAATGAGGAAGTAGACAAAAATCTGTCTTTATTAATCTAGGGCTATCTGTTCATTTCTTCTCTTCAATATAACCTTATTAGAAAAGTTTGGGAAACACTTAAGTATATAATCTCTATTTCTAAGGCTATTTTCTAGTTCTCATGTTCTATGAATCTATGAAACAGATTTTATAAAAAATAATTATAATCAAGATTATAATAAAGTTATATTTTTCTTAGCCAGGTATATTTGTGCACACCTAAGTCTCAGCTACTCAGGAAGCTAAGGTGGGAGGATTGCTTGAGCCTAGGAGTTTGAGGTTGCACTAAGCTATCATCACATCACTGCACTCCACCCTGAGCAACAGAGATCCCATCTTAAAAAAAAAAAAATTGTGGGCCGGGCGCTGTGGCTCACGCCTGTAATCCTAGCACTCTGGGAGGCTGAGGCAGGCCGATTGCTCAAGGTCAGGAGTTTGAAACCAGCCTGAGCAAGAGCGAGACCTCGTCTCTACTATAAACAGAAAGAAATTAATTGGCCAACTAATATATATAGAAAAAATTAGCCGGGCATGGTGGCACATGCCTGTAGTCCCAGCTACTCGGGAGGCTGAGGCAGCAGGATTGCTCGAGCCCAGGAGTTTGAGGTTGCTGTGAGCTAGGCTGACGCCATGGCACTCATTCTAGCCTGGGTAACAAAGTGAGACTCTGCCTCAAAAACAAACAAACAAAAAAAAAATTGTATTTTCCTTCTAAAGGAAATAACAAAAATCAAAAATTTGATAAACCCACAGGCAGTATACAACCAACTTTTTTAAAAGGGAGAAATTACAAAAAAATATTGACTCCAAGTAGCTGGGATCCTGTAAAAAAAAAAAAAAAAAATATTGAAACCAGCATATTCTCAATAGCACTTTTTCTTTTTCAGAAACTACTCTGTCCTGATATATCTCAGTGAAAGAGACCCTTGAGGCCACCCAAACCTTGCTTCTACACTTAGCAAACAATCTTGCAACCTATATTGAATTTTTCATTTAGATCTGTCACCTTATTCATGTTATGATTATATGAAAGACACTTTCATTAAAAAATTTGGAAAATTTATCCTCAGAAAAAATAAGGAAAACTTTTATCTAGAAGACTAAAGATTAAGCGAAAGTGCCAAGAAAGAGATGAAATGCCTCTAAAGTCAAATAATAGATCAGTGCTAATTAGGGAAACCAATGAAATCAGAGACTGGGACCAATTGAGGAAAAAGTTGAAAAAGATAGGGTCGTGTGCATACTTGGAAGGCTATAAGAACAAATACTTGGAAGAGCACTGTTGTTCCAGTTAGTTCACAATAGACTCTGTAACATACTGAAAATGGAAAAAATAACCAGAGCCTAGTTTAGAGGCGTGTTTCTAAACTATACATATTATTATTATTATTATTATTTTTTGACTCTGACGTGATTCAGGACTGGAGGACATATTCATCTGAAAATAAAAACCTTTACCATAGAGCCAAAACAGAAGTTTACACAGTTCAAGAGTTGATATCTACAGAAATCAAAATTCATTTATGATTTTAATAAATCAAATTCACCTTGGGGATAAGCACCCAAATCTTTAGGCTACACCAAATCTAACTGTCATCTTGCCTTTCCAACTTCCCTTACTTTATAATCTCCATTATCATTCTCTCAGAAAAAGAAATGCTTCTGTGAATTTAAACCTGCAAGTGGTTTTAGAAGTATCAATATTAAGTCAACAAAATAGAAGAATTTTGCTTTTCTGTCTAAATGAAATTAGTGGTTTAACAAATAAGTCCACTGCTAAATACATACACAGAGAGAACTGGAGATTCGAAAATCTGTCCACACAAAACCTTACAAAAGAATGTTCATAAGATCATATTCCTTACTGGCCAAAAAGTAGAAAAGCACAAATGTCCATCAACTGATAGATTTAGAATTTTAAAATGTGGTATATGCAAACAATGTAATATTAATTCAGTCATAAAAAAGGAAGTATTGATACATACTATTACAACATGGACAAACCTTGAAAAAATTATGCTAAGTGAAATAAGCCAGACATAAAAGCCCACAGTATGATTACATTTATATGTAATGTCCAGACTAGGCAAATTTATAGATAAAAAATAGATTAATAGTTGCTAGAGGATGGGGACAAAAGAAAATGAGAAATGACTACTAACTGATATTGGGTTTCTTTGAGGGATGATGAAAACATTCTGAAATTAGATAGTGGTGACAGTTGCATAACTGTGAATATACTAAAAATCACCGAACCATATAATTTCAAAGGGTAGAATTTATGGTATGTGAATTATCTCTTGAAAAAGGATGAAACAAATGAAGTAGGGCAGAAGTCTCTAAATGAATATGCTAACATACAAATACATACATCATTTCAAAAACTTACAACTCTCCTAACCACCAAAGACTAACCTACTCTCACAATTAATAAATAAGGCTTTATCTCAAGGGCCAAACAGAACAGAGCTTCTCTAACTTACATCACTGAACTCCAGAGGTAAACTCTCAGTGGGCTGAAGCTCAGCAGCACTCAAGTACAGATCCATGGGGCCGGCTTCCAGATCGTCTGGCACAGACAGCACCTGCTCGGGCTTATACATCTGGGGAGGCAACTGGAAATGCAGTGGGCAGCAGGGATCCTCAGAGAGGCTTACAGGAACTGGTTTGTTGCAGGGTACCTCTTCAGATCCCTGGCAACATTTGAAGAGAACCTGATTTGTATCCTGACAAATATCTGTTGAAAAATGGTCAAGGGAAATAAAACAGGATCTGTCGAGGTACAAAATACAACAGAGTTGTCTGCTATGTAAAATTTAAAGTCTGGACTACACAAGATAATTACAGCTACATTTGATACAGGAAAACCAAATGCAGTTAGTAATTTTTAAAATTACTTCCCAAAATAAATGTCAATTACTAGCATCGAAATCTAGCTCTACCAGTAATTTAAAACTTCTCCCCAACCTCCTTTTTAAGATCCTGATCATTTAAACTATACACTAATCCTGTTCTCCCTTATGACAGTGCTAGGCAAATAGCAATAACACTCCTAGGCCCACACACCTATTCACAAGAAACATGTCCTAGCAAATGCAAATAGCCTGCAGAAGCCCCTACCAACCCCTTCCAAGAGTCAAGAAATACAATGCAGTTTCTGGCCTGGCGCAGTGGCTCACACCTGTAATCCTAGCACTCTGGGAGGCCGAGGCGGGCGGATCGCTCAAGGTTAGGAGTTTAAAACCAGCCGGAGCAAGAGCGAGACCCCCGTCTCTATCATAAATAGAAACAAATTAATTGGCCAACTTATATAGAAAAAATTAGCCGGGCATGGTGGCGCATGCCTGTAGTCCCAGCTACTTGGGAGGCTGAGGCAGGAGGATTGCTTGAGCCCAGGAGTTTGAGGTTGCTGTGAGCTAGGCTGACACCATGGCACCCACTCTAGCCTGGGCAACAAAGCGAGACTCTGTCTCAAAAAAACAAAAAAAAACAATGCAGTTTCTGCACTGTTAGGCAGACAAAGTTTGCAAAAACTTTTAGGACTTTGTTTCCAAAGACGATTTACATATTTAAAGCAGCACCAAATTTGGGGAAACAGAGGTCTACAAATAGTCACTAGGTATCATATGCTGACAAGAACTAAAAATAAATCTTTTTTTTTCTTAAGGAAAGAGTGGTAACAACAGGGGAGTCCTTTTATGATCCCAAAGAAAAAGATTATTTTGCTTATGAGGGCCCATGAAATAAAAGTACTCCAGGAACACTCCAAGAGCTCTATAACAACTTCTGTTAAGGGCAGGAGAAACAGGGTCAATTTCCAAGTTGGCAGAGAAAATTCTGTAGAATGAATCAAAATTAAAATCATGATTAGATAAAATTCAAGTTCAAGTTACTCTGCAAAATACATTTATGCAAGTGTGGCCATTTTTTGAAATCTTAACCACATGGCATTTTTTGAAATCTTAACCACATGGTTAAGATTTCAAACCATGAAATTTCCCTAGATTAGCAAACACATCTTTTTTTTTTTTTGAAACGGGGCATTGCTCTGTTCCCCAGGCTAGAGTGCTGTGGCCTCATCACAGCTCACTGCAACCTCAAGCTCCTGGGCTCAAGAGATCCTCCTGCCTCAGACTCCTAAGTAGTAGCTGGGATACAGGTGTGTGCCATCACACCCGGCTAATTTTTCTATTTTTTTTTTTGTAGAGACAGGGTCTCACTCTTGTTCAGGATGGTCTTGAACTCTGTCTCAAGTGGTCCTTCCACCTTGACCTCTCAAAGTGCTAGGATTACAGGTGTGAGCCACTACACCTGGCCAAACAAATGTTATTTTAAACTTTAGCTTATTTTTAACCAGAAAACATAATTTTCTATAAATCAACTGTATCGGGGTTATGGAATTATGGGTAATTTTCTCAAAACTTTTAAGGCAATTTTTAAAAATTAAAAAATCTAATGTACATCATAGTTTTTTAAACCAAGTAAATCTTCTTGAATAAAGCTGTTTTTTTCTATCCTATCGAAGGAGTTCAGTCCTTCGAAAGGGCTAAACTCCAAAGCAGAATTTCACAATGATGCCACTATTGACCTGTGGGCCAGGTAATTCTTTGCTGGATGTCAAATGTTTAAGCAGCATATCTGGCTTCTTTCCATTATCTGTCAGTATCACCCCTATCCCTGAGGTATGACAATCAAAAATTTCTCCACACATTGCCAAATGGAGGACAAAATGGCTCCCAGTTGAGAACCACTACTTTAAAGGAACACTAGATAACACAAAGTAAACATTTACTGAATGATCAAATGAATAAACATATGAATCTAATGGGAATAATCAAATATGAACTCTCTACATGCTTAAGAAAATCTAAGCAATATCTAATGTGCTTACACAGCCCAATGTTATTTAAGTTATTCTAATATTTAGGCCGGGAGTGGTGGCTCACACCTGTAATCCTAGCACTCTGGGAGGACGAGGTGGGCAGATCATTTGAGCTCGGGAGTTCAAGACCAGCCTGAGCAAGAACGAGACCCCATCTATATCAAAAATAGAAAAAATTAGCCAGGCATGGTGGCACATGCCTGTAGTCCCAGCTACTCGGGAGGCTGAGGCAGAAGGATAGCTTGAGCCCAGGAGTTTGAGGTTGCTGTAGGCTGACGCCATGGCACTGTAGTCAGGCCAACAGAGTGAGACTCTGTCAAAAAAAAAAAAAAAAATTTTTTTTTAAATATTAATCCATTAAATATCTCAACCAGAAACTTTTTTCATGGAATTCAAAGGAATTTCACAAAGCCTCTTAAATACCCCAGTTTCCTAGAGAAACCTCCCCCAACCATTCTCCACCCCCTTTCATTTCAGATGGGGACAACAGAGACAAAAAGAAGGGAATAGTTAACCTACACCTAAAGTCTGGGTACTTCACTTTCAGTCCAGTGCTGTCTCCATTAGACCAGAGTAAAGAGTTAACAGGTCACCAATGGCAGTCGCATCTTTCTCTGGGGAAAGGACTTAAGGAAGGGTAAGTGACTTAGGCAACTATGGAGTGGAAAGAAAAGAGCATAAAAAGAAAAAAAATACTTCCCTTCTCTTTTCAAATACATTTCATTTTCAACTTTGCTTTTTAAAATACTTATATTCCAATAAATTACTTGAGTACATTATAAGAAATATCTAAAATAGTCCTTACTATCTCTAAACTGGGTTTTTTTCTTTATAAAAAAGTAATTCAAGCTCACAATAAAAACCCAGAAAGTATCAAGAAACAGAGTGGAAAAGGGGCATTCATAACCCTCCTAACATGCAAAACTAATCACATTTATGTGTTACATTCCCTCCTGGTATTCAGTTTCACACAGGTAAACACATTCTACACAATTCCATATCCTATTTTTGTCACTTTCATTTTCCTGTCATTCACAGATTTTGGCAAATATAAAGTTTAATGGCTGAAAATATTCCATATTATATTGTGCCTTAATTTACTTTTCTCCATCTCTGAATATTTTAAGGCTATCTCCAGCCAGATAATATTTTATGTCAAAACACTGGTCTGCATTTGGTTGTCTTCTTTTTTTTTTTTTTTTGTATTCACAGACCAGATTTATTACAGATGGTCTATCATAAATAGAAACAAATTAATTGGCCAACTGTCTTCTTAAAATAATTTCCCAGAGGTAAAATGACCATATCAAAGAATATGAATATTTCAAACTGATTTCCAAAAAGCTTATACCAATTTATATTCCCACTGGCACAATTAGAAGGTCCCATTTTATCATACTCTCACTTAATTTTGAAATTTATTCACTCATTAAAAAATTATATATTTTAAAGTTATCTTAAATATATGTACAAATATCAAGTTTACAGATTTTAAATTTTCCTCATTTTACTTCCTATTTATAGTTAACTCTTGAACAACATAAGTTTGAACTGCACAGCCTACTTGTATGTGGATTTTCTTCTGCCTCTGCCACCCCTAAGACAGCAAGACCAACCCGTCCTCTTCCTCCTCCACCTACTCAGTGTAAATATGACAAAGATGAAGACCTTCATAATAATCTACTTCCACTTATCAAATAGTAAATATATCCTCATAAATATATACACACAAACATATATATACACATATACACACACTTTTTTTTGAGACAGGTCTTGCTCTGTTGCCCAGGCTAGATGCAGTGGCACAATAATAGCTCACTACAGCCTCTACTTCCTGAGTTCAAGCGATCTTCTTGCCTCAGCCTCCCAAGTAGCTGGGACTAAAGGTATGCACTACCACCCTGAGCTAATTTTTCTTTTTTTTTGTAGAGAGAGGGGCCTCCCTATGTTGCTGAGGCTGGTCTTGAACTCCTATCCTCAAGTGATCCTCCTGCCTCAGCATCCTGAGCGGCTAGGATTGTAGGTGCAAACTACTGTGCCCTGATTTTATTTTTTCTCTAGTTTACTTTAAGAATATAGCGTGTAAGGCCGGGCGCTGTGGCTCACGCCTGTAATCCTAGCTCTTGGGAGGCCGAGGCGGGCGGATTGCTCAAGGTCAGGAGTTCAAAACCAGCCTGAGCAAGAGCGAGACCCTGTCTCTACTATAAATAGAAAGAAATTAATTGGCCAACTGATATATATATAAAAATTAGCCGGGCATGGTGGCAGTGCCTGTAGTCCCAGCTGCCCGGGAGGCTGAGGCAGAAGGATCACTCGAGCCCAGGAGTTTGAGGTTGCTGTGAGCTAGGCTGACGCCACGGCACTCACTCTAGCCTGGGCAACAAAGCGAGACTCTGTCTCAAAAAAAAAAAAAAGAATATAGCGTGTAACATATACAACACATAAAATATGTATTAATCAACTATGTTATCAATAAGGCTTCTAGTCAACAGGAGGCTATTAGTAGTTAAGTTTTGGGGGAGTCTAAAGCAGATCTTCAACAGTATAGAGGAGGCGTCCTCAAACTACGGCCCTTGGGCCACATGTGGGGCTGCCCAGGACATTTATTCGACGTTCTGGGTGTTTTTGCTGCCCTGCTGTCCTACTTAGCAGCCGACTCGTCCCAGGCCCATAGTGCACACTCTCCAACGGTATGAGGGACAGTGAACTGGCTCCCTGTTTAAAAAGTTTGAGGACCCCTGGTATAAAGGGTCAGTGCCCCAAGTCTCAAGTTGTTCAAGGGTCAATTGTATTTACAGAGAACATAAACACTTTTCAACTATCTTCTTTTAAATATGTCCATAGATAGCCTTTGCCCAATTACATTTTAAGCAGTTATCTTTAAAGTTTCTAATTATTACTTTGCACAAGCATTTTATATTAAGGATAGTAATCCTTTCTCAGACATTTGTTGTAATAAATGGGTAAAATATCTAATAAACAATTAAAAAAAATCAGCCTCCCTATCAAAAGATCAAGAGGGGTTCTCCT